GCAGCAGAAATTGAACTGGAAAGGTGAGTGTCTCAGCAGTTCAGTGGGCTTGTAACCATGGTGGGTATGGAGGGAGGAGGTGACCTGAATTCGTCTGCTGATGGGTTGGTGTATCACAATGCCAAGGCAGCATCTGCAAGCAGCTGCGGTGGGGACAGATCAGCCATGGAGCTCGGGATCTCATGGCTACGCAGTTGCTAATCCCAGAGCCTGTGTTTGCATACTGGCATTTCAGTAATGAATGTGTCATCTGTGACAAGAGCCAAGACACCCACCTGTGTGGGAACACTCCCCACCAAGCACCCAGCAGGGCGACCAGAGAACTCAGAGCCTCAAGTCCTCTCCCGATGTAGCTGGAGCCCCTTGGGTGCCCGTGGCAGGAATGGCAATCCCATCCCTGCGCTGCCTGAGCACAGGTGATGCCATGAGTGTGTCCGCTCATCCTGGTCTCCTTCCAGCCCCAAAGCCACTGCTGAGACACAGATGCTCCTGTTGAGGAGGGGCTGGCTGGTCCTGGCTGCTCCCAGCCTCGGTGGCTGCGCTCCATGTCCTGCACTGGGCTCTGCCTTCCCCGGGTGCTGATGCTTTGTGAAAGGGCTCTCCAGCAGTGCGGCCATGCTCTGCAGGGAGATCTGCAGCTGGAGAAGAGGAAGGGGCAGCCCTTCGGGGTGTGGGAGTGATCCCAAACTTCTGCTGCCCTCTTCGGGGAGAAGGAAGATGCTCCCTCTCTGGGAAGGGGACACCTGTCTTGCCTTGCCAGCGGGTGGCAGGATGGTGGCTGCGGTGGACAGCCTGTTGCGGTGACCCTCACCTGGCTGGAGGTGCTCCCCAGGGTCTGGAAATGGACATCTCCTTCTCAGCAGGTCCAGGCAAGCCCTTGCTGCTGCTGCTTGTCAGCTGCTGGGCAGAGGCTGCTCAGCTGCAGCTCTTCAGCCAGAACCAGGGCTTTTCCCTTCCTGACTAAAGGCGGTGGCTGCTGACAGGGATTGGCACCTGCCTGAACCGGCCATTCTGGGGGCTGTGCCCTGGCTCCCTGTTCAGCTTCAGCCCAGCAGAAATCAGGGTCTCAGCAGCTCTGAGGGTCTGTGAGATCGGACTGAGCCCTGTCCTCGTCCCAGCCGCAGTCGGGGTGTGGGTGCTGAGGAGGGGGGGAGTCTTGGTCCGGAGGAGAGCGGCTCCGGACAGCGCTTTGCCTGCTGTGGGTGCAGGCAGAGCAGCATCAGGCACAGGGATGTGTGTGCTGGGACCCCATGGTGCTGGGGCAGAGCTGGTGCTCCGCTGTAGTCTGCGTCGCAGCTCCCTGCGTGCCCTCCTGAGACCCACTGCTTTGGTGCACATCAGCTCTGCCGCCTGGAGCTGGCAAAGTTGATCCTCGCCCCCGAAGCAGCCGTGATGCTGAGCTGTCGGCCGCTTCCCGGGACCCTCCGGCTGCCGAGCGCTCAAATAACCGCTCTGCATCGCGCAGCCCCCTCCCACAGAGACCGCAGAAGAGTTTGTCATTAAAAACAAACAACTCAGCCACGGTGACGCATCTACCCGGGGCTGAGCATTTGCATGTAAATGAGCTGCCTCTGGGACCCAAACAGGTACCTTTGTTATTAAAGAAATGACAAAAGTACTTTATTCCTGCTCTCATCATGCCGAGTGCTTGCCTGCCGACTTATTTGCGTGGAAAAGTCAGCTTCGCTATCTCAGCCGGAGCGTGGCGGAGCTGCTGTTCCTTGGGGCCTCTGAGAGCTGTTTCTGAGTTTACGCTGAAAACTTTTGCATATGATGTTCCTTTCTCCAAGTGCCTCTGGGCCCTTCTTCTGAGTGTCTGTTTACTGACAACCTGTGAGTCCCGGGGGTAAAAATGAGCGTGGAGTTAAAATACAGGGGAAAAAAAATGGCATGAATTTCAAGTTTGTGACTTTGTTTTCTGTGGGTTTTTTGTTTGTTTGTTTCCCCCGCCCCCCAAGCACAGAAGCTCAAGAAGCCGGTTCCCACACCCATCCCAAGGAGGCCCCCCCTCGTGATGCAGATTGTAGTGAGCGCCTGACATTTCTCTAACGGGAACTAATTCACTGGAACAATTGTGGCAGGTGCCTTAAATCTTGTAAGAGCGGTCAAGACCCCGGTGCGGGGAGCTGGCAGCTTCAGCCCGGACCCCGCCACGGCACAGGGCCCCAGAGCTGGGCTGGGGCTCATCCCCCAGGACCCTGTTGGCCATTCACGGAGCGGGGTGATGGGGTGAGCCGATCCCGATGCCCAGTAGGTCACTCTCAGTTGCTGCCGCCCTGGTCAAAGCCTGGACCTGGCTCCTCACAACATGTCGGTCCTGACACACCAGCACGTTTGTCCCACTGTGCAGTTGCTTGTCACATGTGGTGGCACTGGAACCATGGCTGGTGCTGAGCCAGTGTGTCACCGCTGCTGGGGGGAGGAGGGCTGCACCCGGGACACCCCTGTGGTAAAACCGTTGCTGCCTCCCTGGTCCTGACGTGGTGTGCACAGGATTTCAGAGATGGGGCTGAGCTTAGTGGCTGGTGCTGGCACATTGTGGCAGCTCCAGTGGGTGCCATGCTGACCCCACCATGGCAGGGACACTGTATCATGGCCCTGGTGCCCACCAGCTTCCTGGGAAGACCCCCAGCACCAGTGGCCTCTGACTGGGCTGTGCTATGCCCTGGAGAGGGCGAGGGCCTTGCCAATACCAGTGCGGTAGGGCAGAATCATGGTGGGGCTGGGCTGGAGGCACTGGAGGGGTGTGTGCGGGGGGCTCCTTTTGTAAAGAGCACGGTGTTCAGGGGGACTGTGACCTTGGCCCTAGGGAGGAGGTGCGCCAGAGCATGGCCGGGGTGCCCTGGTGCCCGGCAGGGGCTGTGCCCGAGTGTGATGCCTGGCCCCCCGCCCAGCCCATCCCCAGCTTTGTTCGGCCTGACGTGGGCAGCCCCCAGCCCCAGACAAGGCCCCACAGGGCTCAGGGAGCCCGGGGAGCTGCAGGAGGGGGGTGCTCAGCAGCAGAGAGCTCCCCAGACCTGGACGCACTGCCCCCCACCCCACAGCACCTCTCTCCCCCACAAAGACAGACACGATGGAGCCAGCACAAGCACGTTTATTGTCACCACAGAGCCACTGGAGCTGGCTCAGGCATCCACACACTCCACGGGGTCCAAGGACATGGTCACATCTGCCTTGCACTGGAGAGCGCCGGGGGCTCCGGGCAGCACCCGGCAGCTCCACGGCTCGGGGGCCACATCCGTCACACACAGCGCCTGCGGGGGAGACCATCAGCAGGGACTGGGGTCCCCAGGACACACGGCACCAGCTGGTGCTGGGGGTGGGGTGTCCCGACCAAGCCCCGGTGCCTGGTGGGCACAGGACCCTGCTCCCCCCCTGGCACAAACTACCCAG